GCAGGAAAAAAATCTACCTCGTCAGTCATGTATCGAAAAATATGGGTATCATGCATGGCACATAACTAACTGACTGAGGTGCTAATACCGTTGGGAAAGGTATGAATCCTCTCCTTCTCCCCCCCAACTATGGGCGAATAGCAGGACAGACCGGGTTCTATAGCCATGGATAGCAACTGGTCTACCACAGAAAAAAATGGCAACTTACTGCAGGAAAATATCTGCCTCGTCAGTCATGTATCGAAAGATACATGATCGTCTACTCGTGTATCACGCATGGCACATAACTAACTGACTAGATTGGTGACAAGGTCTCACCAATTTACAGTTGAGCTGGCTAGGTGGAACCGTAAGTTCTATGCTGACAGTTTCTTCTCTCGAACTTCTCGCTTGTGGAACTCTCTTCCAGCTCCATGCTTTCCAATTAATTTTAATCTTCAAAAATTTAAATGCAATCATTATCTACTCCCTTCCTGATTACTCTTCTATTGTTCTCGCTCACTAATAATAATAACGCTTTCTAATTCTTTCACGCTCAGTAACTCCTTGTGTCTTAGTGGCTTTATTACCTTGATTAGGGTAAATTCAATTTAAAAAAAAATACACTGAGCAGAGATTAGTTACAGTTCCTGAGAGAAAAGGTAATAATCCATTGGGATCAGTCGTTCAGTCCACTTAAACCGATCCACTTAAATCCTTAATGATGACTTCTTCCTTAGCACAGATATCGACAGTTTCCAAACAGTTTTCATATATTCTTTAGATAGGTAACTTGTTGTTTCTATTTGATTCACTCGCTATTAATAGGCCATTTGAGTGTTAAGTTCTCCAAACCCTCTTTCCTCAATATATAACCCGAAATTTTAAAACTATCGCTTTCTGATTCTAAACGTCCATATTTTTTCCATTGTCTTTAAAATAGCATTGGTTTGTGTGCATCATGTGCTGCCATTGCCTTAGATAAATAATGAACCTTTTCGATTCACAGTAGTGCAGGCTAGATGTAACCGTAAGTTCTATGCTGACAGTTTTTTCTCTCGAACTTCTCGCTTGTGGAACTCCCTTTTGGTCCCATGCTTTCCAATCAATTTTAATCTGGAAAATTTTAAATTCAATGCCAATCATCATCTGTAGTCTTCCTGATTCCTCTTCTATTCTTCTCGCTCCTTAATAATGTTTCTGTTTTATAATTCTTTCACACCCAGTAACCCTCTTGTGTCTTAGTGGCTTCACTGCCTTTCTTAGAGTAAATTCGATTAATGCATATAAATATATATAATATCTTAAAAAATACAGATATACCTATGCAACATAAATTAAATAAATACTTATTTGTTATCGCACGCATATACAGTTGCTAATATCTCGTTATTTAGTTTCTAGCCACACATACACACACACACACATATATATATTATGAAATGGGTTAAGTTCGACAATTATTTTCCTACATTTTCTGTTTAATATTTATATTTTCTATAAAAGTAACTTATAAACAGAAATATATATATATATATATACACACACACACACACACACATATATATATATATATATATATATATATATATATAAACACACATATGAGTTGCTACCCCTGCTTTCTTAAACTGAATTTAAACATAACCGTAATATTAGTATGTGCTTATAAAGCTCCGTAAATTTCAAAATTAGTTATTCCAAAATTCGCTTGAGGATGAAACAGAACTAGGTACTTTAATTTAATTTCTGTAATTGAATTGAAAATTTTTAGCTTCTGTTTTTGAAACATGGTAATTCCTATGTAGCGATGGAATATTATTTTTTTAAAAATAATTATAATATAGGCTCTACTTGTGTATCGAGCACTGTTTTTTAAAAATAAATACAAAAATACTAAAGAACTTCGGATTATTAACCTAACGGTTCTTCCCTATTTTTCAATATATTTGCACACACACACACAGACACACACACACAGACACACACACGCACACACACACACACACACACACACACACATATATATATATATAAAGAAAGAAAGAAAGAAAGAGAGAGAGAGAGTGAGAGAAAGAGAGAGATTATAAAACTTTAGCAATATGATTTAATAAATCCTTGGCAATATCTACAACACACTTTGATGTTTCTTTTCCACACGCTTTTGATTTTTCTCAAAGGAAATTGTGTAAAACTCCTTTTCAAAAATATCAAGATTTAAATAAAAATATTCATGAAATGTTTATAACGATAAAAAATGCAAAATTTCTAGCATCTCAAAGCGAATGAAATTGCGTACATTGCTGCATCAGTTTGTATGTGCAAATGTATAATTCATATGGTTAATTACAGAATATACTTGTTGTTGTTGTTTTGTTTTTTTTTGTTTTTTTTTTTGTAACTGCTCCTGATGTCATCCCAGGCATTTCCTTAACATATTCTAGATACACAAGAACGTCAGTTTTCTGAACGAAACGATCGGGTAACATTTTTTTTTTTTTTTTTTTTTGTTGTTTCTTTTTTTTTTCAGATAATTTATTGTTCGGGTAACTGATCCATTCATAGAAAAGGAAAACATAACGAACGCGTAAAAGGATTTGTTTTCATTCAATCTAAAATTTGTGATATTTCATTTTACAAAATAACATCACGTTTTCTCTCGTTTAAGCAACGGGGATATGGAATTGAAAATTCAGGGAATATTGACGTAATTATATTAAAAAAATATATATATATCTGTGTAAGTAAACAGAAATTGCATTGAATTCGTCGAAGATGCTAAGTACTTATTTATTGAAGTGATGGTCGACCACTCTTTTTATTTTTTTTTTTTATGTGTTAAAATTATTCAACACTGTTCAAAATGGTCGCCTGAAATCAAGACGACTTTCTCTTCGTTTCTTACAGATTCATACTTACAAGTTATAGAATAAATGAAGAGAACCCTATAAAATTTGCCATGATTTTAAAGCGTTCGTTTTAAATTCTTTTTATAATACTTTAAAATTATTCCAACAGTTTAAAATAACTGATTATCATTAAGTAGAAAGATCGTTTTTCTTTCATTGAAATTATTAAACTAATAAATCAAAGAAATTTAACAAATTTGTATTCGGAATAAAACCATGAAATTAAACATTTGCAGGACGTTGAAAATTGATTCGGATAATCCTTAATTCGTATAATTCTTAATTCGGATAATCCGCAATTCAGATAATTCGTAAGTCGCCGAATCGACGTTCCAATATATTGTATATTATCATATTTAATTTTTTTCGATTTCTTTATTTCTCTATATTAGACACAATTTCTAATCATGATTTCCTATCATTATCGTGATTACATATATATATATATATATATATATATATATATATATATATATATATATATATACTACCAGTAAAGCCCGGCGTTGCCCGGGAGTAAACTTCCTCTGAATCGAAGGTCATAGCCGCCATACTCATTTTGTACACGCATGTAAGGCTGAAGTCTAGTAGAACTGATGGCCGTCCACGTAAAAAACGTAATGTAAACAAGTTGTCGACATTCATCAGCACAATAGAAGAAAAAATTGTAAGGCTTAAAAGGAAGTAGTGGACAGCCATGGTAGCATCAGCTGTTTGCCATTACTAAGACACCTCCAATTAAAAGTTGCCAAGTTCAATACGAACGCGGGACTTAGGAAGTTTTTGGTGAGTTGTGGCAGATGGCTTTGTATTCCGATGAGATGGTTTTATTATCCCTGAATGCAAGACATTACATGAAACCCTGTGTCAGTTGCAACGTAGTAAAACGCAATAGCATGAAAGGTAGACGCGTCTTTTGCCCAAAAGACGGCGCTGCCACTACCGCAAACAGAACTACATAACCAAAGTATCGGAAGGTGCCGGGGTGAGTACTTGTAAATGGCACAAATTTTTTTGTAGTTTTTAATAGCCAGTAGAGGCGAGCACGAAGCGCACGTGGCGTTAACTAAAGCAGCCCTTATGGTAAGGAGAGAAACACACCAACGGTGTACGGCAGAGAATGCAGATTATAACTCTGCATGCTGCTATTCCTTTATTATCCCACTTCTTTTTGCTGAGACCTGAATTGCATGGACGCACTTGACTTCTCTGACAATTAAACGAATCCACCTTCCGACGTATTGGTTTTGTGTTGCAACCGAATATGGCTATGTGGTCGACATGTAATTGCGAAATGCAGCTATGGTGGGGTTACATGATAAAGGAGCATTTGGTGAGCAAGACAACCTTTAATGAAACGTCTTAGTAATGGCAAGTGGATACTACGACCTTTAAATAAACCGGGTTCCAAAATGAAGGAACCTACGATGCAGCTGACATAAAGATGTGTACATTGCGTTTAAACGTGACCGGCCATGGGCTATAGGACTTCTGCGTAGGTAATATTTTTAGCTTTGTTTGTTGGAGAGTAAACGAAAACGTTATCCTTACTACCGACTCGGGAGCAGCCTACGTAAAGCTGTCCATGGGTGAAACACTGTTCACCTAAATGCAGACCCGCAACGCTAAGTGTCTGTCCTTGCGATTTGGCCATTGTCATTGGGCCGTGCTCGCCGTACCCCAGGGCTTTCTGAAGCTCTGGCAGATGCAGTAGATCTGGAATTCCTAAAACGACGATTAGCGGTCTGCACAGAACTTTCTAAAGCTCTGTCAGAGGCAGTAACGCTGGCGTTTCTTAAATGACGAATAGAGGTTTGTTGAGGTTGTTCCGAAACCCTGGTAGATGCTGCAGACCTAGCATTCCTAAGACGACGCGAAGTGGTTTGTTCAGGGCCTTCTAAAGCTCTAGAATATGCTGTAGTGCTGGCATTCCTTAAACGCCGAGGGATTGTCTGTGTTGGGTACTCGGAAGCCCTGGCCCTAGAAACGCGTATTGCGTCCTGTGAATTCTGTACTAAACGCTCTTCAGTTGAAAGTCTAGCGCGTCATGATGACATAACGGATGCTACTGAGGCCAGCCTTTCAGTCCGTTCAGCGGTACTTTCTGTGGAGATGCGGGCAGCAGAGTGTAAGGCCATCGGAGAAAGGCGCAACGAAGTTTGCTCTGTGGTTTCACTTGCCCTTCCTGCTCTTGTAGCGGAGGCAGCAGCCGTGCACCGTCCAAAAAGTTTTCTTCCCTTAGGCGGCATTTTAACCAATTTTAAAAAGGCAAACGTAATAAAAGGTATGTAGTTTTTTTTGAGTGCAAAAAATACATGTAGTCTAAACGTAGGAAGGTTAAAGGGATCCCAAAAATGTATGTAACTGTATCAAAAGGGGATCGAAGACAAAAAAAAGTGAAGTTTAAAAAATTCAACTAAAGCTAAAACGGTAGTAGGTAATTTTGGAAGTAAATTCGATAAACGCGGAAACGGATGTAGTTATAACCAAGAAGTAAAAAAAAGGAGTTTGGATACGTAATCAATAACTTTCGGCTTCCGTAAGAAACAAATGAAGTGAGTCAAGTGCGGGACAGTAATCGCAGAAGTGTGAACACGCGTTGCGAGTTATGTTATAAAGAGGCGGTTGGCTGGTTGACCTTGAGTGCACATACTAAGGTGGCGTACGTACGCATGTGCACACGCGTGCGTAAGAGAACTGCTCATGCGTATGATTGGATGGGCCCAAGGTTAAACGCTTGCAACCGTGCCAATGAGCTCGCAGAAACCTTGAACAGTTTACACGATTGGTTAACCTCCAGCTGGGTTAGTCAAAGCAGTGCACAGTGGCGGATAACGTTTCAAAATCGTATCTGGCGACTTTATTGTATCGATTTTTTTATTGATAAATATGAAAGCTATTCTTATCCCAAAATAGGCATTGCCTTTTTGATTTACGTCGTCACCGATGTAGCGCAGTTTCTCAAAGTCAGCCAATCAGAAAATTGGATTTTCAAGCTTCATTTTTCTTTAAAAATTTTGAGCAGCCAGGAGATATGAGGTAGTTTTATTGATCAAAAGTTGAAAATACAAGCGTTTTTACACTTCTTACGAACAAAATTTGAAGCAATGTTAATTTCGTTTACTGATGGATGATAAAGGCATTTAAGTAGCACGAATTTAGATGAAAACGTGCCAGAACTTTTTTGGGCAGCGATGCGCAGTAGTAAAATTATAGCGAATAGCTGCCTTTTGCTACATGTAAACAGCATGAAAAGACATAACAGTCCTACGGTGTGACCTCGAATGAAAAAATGGAATTAAATGTGAAATTTCCTAAGATTACCATACTAGAATTCGTGTAACGCGTGATCTCGCTTATCGTGCGACTCCCAAATTTTCACTTATAAAAAATGATTTTATCATGTATCTCATGTACCATGTGAGTTCCTTTTTTGGGAGACCAAATTACAATGGACTAACCTCTTTTCCTCTATCTCTTTATCCCATCTTCGAGTTAAATAAATTCAAAAAGTAAAAGAGAAGGATAAAAGTATCGTTAGTAACGTTATATTCGTTTCGTAAACGCGTACAGCCATAAACAACCAAACGAGAAACAGCCAAACATCTTATAAACGTAACCAATGGAAAAGATGCATATTCGCTATGTTTGTATTTTATAATACGATACTAATATATGAATATATTATATGCATTATTATTACATATAGTTAAATAAAACAACAGTTTTATCAAAATCATGTTTATTTTAAATACAACTGTACATTTTGACTACTGTAAATAGATGTATAGTTTGTTCAATGTCTTAGTCAAAACCAGGAGTACATACATTAATTTTATATCTCGTGTATGATGCGACCCCCTTAAAATTAGCTTCAGAATGAGGTCTTCAAAAGTCGCATGGTACGCGAATATATACGGTATATGTGATATACATTATATATTAGTAGGTCTTTTGACTAAATTAAAGCATGAATAGAAAGATTTTAAAGTCGGAATTTTCGGACACGCCTGTGTCCTTTTACAACGGGCCGAGAAATAAACAAAGAAGTGGGACTCACTCTCCCAGGGAATGTTGCTGTTGTTGATTAGAGGGCTCCCCGTGGAAAGTACATTCTCTGAATAAACCCAAATCCCTGTTTAATCCCTTAATATGTGATTCTGTTTTGTAAATGTTTTTTTTAACTCTAATCTGTGTCTTTCTTGTCGACTCTTAAATGAAAACGCTAAAAGCATCTGATGTCATCAATGATATGAAACGGTTGGTTGCAGTGTGTAGCGTCAGGTTAATTGTTGTTGTTGCCTTTGCTGTGTTTTTACGGTTATTCAACCGAAGACGGAATTCCATGTCTTTTTCTACATAATGAATCCCTTTTTTTGGATTTGTGACAGAAAAGTAAATATCTAAGAATTGAATTATGGTTTAAATAACGTGTGAGTGTCTGGGGTCTGAAAATGCTATCAGTGATGATATGTTTACAGACTTGGCATTGGGATTTATTACAGGGGTTGTTCACTTAGTGAGATGGAGAATTATGTATGCCAGATGTTGTTAGGAGTGTGTGTAGATTGGGTGGGAGGCTGATGCCCAGTGTTAAGTGTGTTCTTTCTAATTCTTTGGTCGAGTTTAAATACAGGAAATCTTTTATTGAGATATGAGGAAGCTTGTAATTATTGTGATATATATATATATATATATATATATATATATATATATATATATATATATATATACTGGCTTAAAAGACGCCCTATCAGTGGGCATTTAAGCTAGCACCTTCAAAAGGTTCTCGACTGGGCCTTCATCACCATAAGTAGAAAAGAGTAGATGCGATAGGCATCAATAAACTACAGAAATCAAAATTGATCGCTGTATTTAAGTATTCCATTAATATTTAAGTTTACCTTTTAAAAGTTCAACGAAAGAGATGAGCTATTGAGAGTTGTGTCTCTTTAATTGAAAAAGTGTGATACACTAGCATTGGCATTTATTATATAGAAGAAGATGGGCTAATATGAGTTGTGTCTCCTTAATTGAAAAAGTGTGATACACTAGCATTGGCATTTATTATATAGAAGAAGATGGGCTAATATGAGTTGTGTCTCCTTAATTGAAAAAGTGTGATACACTGGCATTGGCATTTATTATATAGAAGAAGATGGGCTAATATGAGTTGTGTCTCCTTAATTGAAAAAGTGTGATACACTAGCATTGGCATTTATTATATAGAAGAAGATGGGCTAATATGAGTTGTGTCTCCTTAATTGAAAAAGTGTGATACACTGGCATTGGCATTTATTATATAGAAGAAGATGGGCTAATATGAGTTGTGTCTCCTTAATTGAAAAAGTGTGATACACTGGCATTGGCATTTATTATATAGAAGAAGATGGGCTAATATGAGTTGTGTCTTCTTAATTGAAAAATGTGATACACTAACATTGGCATTTATTATATAGATGCATACGCACTCACACTTAAATGCACAATATATATATATATATATATATGTGTGTGTGTGTGTGTGTGCATGCGTACTATAGAGAAATTCCAGTATGGTGACTTCATTGATCGGCGAAACCATTCAGAAAGCATTTAACAGCTGCAGCCAATTAATAACGGCGTTGTTTTTTTTCTGTCTTTGGCGCGGATTTTCTTTGTTCCTTCTTCACGGATTGTGTGTTTTTTTGTTTTTTTTTCACTCCGTCTTTCCTCTTCTCTTCTTCAGACTCTTTTCTCTATGCATCACTCTCTCTCTCTCTCCCTCTCTCTCGTTCTCTCTACAACTCTTTATTTCTCTCTATCTCTCAATAGAAGGTCTCTTTTTCTTTGGATTTCTCTTCCTATCTCTCTTTCCATCTCTCTTCATCTCTTTACTCTTTTCTCACTCTCCATATTACCATTTCTCTTTTCTCTCTTTCTCTCCCCATCTCTCTCTCTTTCTCTCCCCATCTCTCTCTTTCTCTCTGCTTCTTACTTCATCTCTCTCTCTCTCTCCGTATATCTCTCTGCATGTCTCTTTTTTCTTTCTCTCTCTCCCCATTTCTCCATCTCTCTCTGCATCTCTCCCTTTCTGTCTTTCGCTCTCTATCTCTGTCACTCCTCTCTCGCCATCTCTCTTTCTGTCTGCATTTCTCTATGAATCTCTCTCCCCATCTCTCTCTATATTTCTTTATCTTTTTTCTCTCTCCCCATTCTCTCTATATTTCTTTTTATCTTTTCTCTCCCCATCTCTCTCTATATTTCTTTATCTTTTTCTCTCTCCCACTCTCTCTATATTTCTTTATCTTTTTCTCTCTCCCGCTCTCTCTATATTTCTTTATCTTTTTCTCTCTCCCACTCTCTCTATATTTCTTTATCTTTTTCTCTCTCCCACTCTCTCTATATTTCTTTATCTTTTCTCTCCCCCCCCTCTCCCTATTTTCTTTATCTTTTTCTCTCTCCCCATCTCTCTCTATATTTCTTTATCTTTTTCTCTCTCCCACTCTCCCTATTTCTCTCTGCATGTCTTTTTTCTCTGGATCTCTCTCTCCATCTCACCCTTTCGCTCTCTATCATTTTCTCTCTCCCTATCTTTTTTTTTCTTTCTGCATCTCTCTTTCTCTCCCTCTCTCTGTATCTCTCTTTCTTCTCTGGGTCTCTCTCTCCCTTTTTTATCTCTCCATCTTTCTCTTTCTTTCTACATTTCTTTATCCATTTCTCTTTCTCTTTCTAACTTTCTATCACTCTCTTTATCTCTCCCGTTCTCTCCCCATCTCTCTCTCCCCATCTCTCTCTCTCTCTCTGTCACTATCTTTCTTTCTTTCACTGTCGTAACTTGGAGACTTACTATAGTTATTTTCCAAGCGTAGCTTAGATGTGGCACAAGGCCGAAAGTATGGGGCACCTAGTGAGGATCGAACTCACTTTGTCAGTCGTAACTGATCTAGCGTGACAAGCTTGCTAACCATTACACCACGCCGTGCAATCCCATCCGGTCTTGCTAATTTGTTCCTGTTCATTTTGGACACTACCGGTCTCCGACTACTCTGGGTCATAGCGAGAACAATCCTTGTTCAAACCTGTTACCACAGAAGAACTGTAGGGTTTTTATACCCTTTCAATTTCTGTGACCAATAATTTGCCCTCTGTAGAAAATAGGGTTGTAAAGCGCATTAACGCGGCATAGTGATTAAAATAAAGGATAACACCAAACTTGAGTGGAAAAAAAGAAAGGCTTTATATCAGAAAGAAGAAGAAAAAAAGGGAAAATAGAAAAATTGTTTAAAAATCGTTGCAAAAAAAATGTTTTTTACGAGGACTTAATTGATGGCAGTAAAGTTCGTTCAGTTAACAGTTTTTCTTATTTTTGTTGCAACGTCGGAATATCTTCGTCTTCAGGTCGAAGAAGGATTCAGTTTTTGGATGCATTGCTGCAATTGTTAGCATATCCTTGTTCCTACGTTGTGTTCTTGGATGTTTCATTTCCAGACATCATGCGGCTGTTGGTTGTGTTTTACGGAGCTAAATTTGTCCGTGTTGACTCGTCAGCGGTAGAAGAAAAAAGAGAGCTGTGATAGGCTGCTTTCAGCCAATCAAAAGGGCCGGTGATAACGAGCCCTTCAAAGGGAGGCAATCTCTATAATAATTTCAACAGAACAAAGAACTCTATTGGATAACAGAAACCATGTACTCACTTGAGGTCTTTCAACAACAACAACTAAATTGAATAGCACATGTAAGTCAAACACAAAATAATAACATAATCAAAATAGTTCCAAATTACATCAGACAAATGTTTAAGAAGGAAATTCCCATCAATACCGGTAAAAGCGATAACAGCTAATGGTCTTGAAATACAGTGTAACCCGGATATAAGAGACCCGGATATAAGAGAAACCCGGATATAAAAGAGATTTTCTCTGGTCCGAAATTAGAGCCTGTGTTAATGTATATAAAATAGACCAAACCCGGATATAAGAGAAACCCGGATATAAGAGACTTCTCCGGTCCCGACAACTCTCTTATATCCGGGTTACACTGTACTTATTTTCCTGAAAAGAAGGGCGATCTTATTAATTTTAACCGAAAGTAACACTAGTTGCTGGGATAATGAATACAGAATGTTTTCTTATAATACTTCTCTTCTTCTTTTCATTCTCCCCCTCCCTCCCATACCCAGTCTTTTCACTCACTTACACTCTCTGTAACCCCTTGCGAACTAGTGGTACTCCCGCCTTGCTTGGGGTGAAATGCTTTAAAAAAAAAGGAAAGCGAAACAGCTAATACAGTGTAACCCGGATATAAGAGACCCGGATATAAGAGAAACCCGGATATAAGAGAAACCCGGATATAAGAGACTTCGTCTCCGGTCCTGACAACTCTCTTATATCCGGGTTACACTGTACTGTCATAAGCATTAAAAGCGAAAGAAAAATACATTAAATGTTGATCTCAGTCCAATGGCCAGAGAGTGAAGAGAAAAATGTGTGTCAAACTCATCTTGAGTATCATATCGAATGAAAATGAACTGGACGTGTAATTCTTACGATTTACGAGTTAAGAAAATATCAAAGAATATAATAAACCAATATTGTAACCATTGTGCTATACACTCCAGTAAGTCATTATACTTTTGTATAATCCGTTTTTTTTTTCTTTTGTTTTGCGCATCTGTCAGCGATAAAATGGAGCCAGTTTAAAAACTGTGACGTTTGCTCGCCAGCCCCGCCCCCAACGCCCCCTCCTCTCTGTTCTTCACTTTCTTTTTTTCTCGGCAGTAAAATATACCATTTGTTGGCTGAAGAACATGGTGCATGGTGCGGCCTGAAGACGCTGAGGTTCCAGTCAAATCAAGACTCGTGCTTGTCTTAAGCCAACGTTTTGATTGTTATCACTGAAATCAGCCTTGACCTCGTGCGCATGCGCACACATACACAGAGGTTCCCTCACACAACTACACGCCATAATTAAGAGATAAGCCGAAACTGTAAATAAATCATCTTTTTTTTTCTTTATATTCTACTTCTATACTTTTGCATTTTTCTTTTATAACTCGACTTTCATTCTTTTTAATTTATTTTCTAATCTTTCTTTTTTTCTTTCTTTTTTCTCTTTTTTATTCTTCGATTTTTTCTCTCATCTACTTTCTTTCTTTCTGTTTCCAATATCTCTCTCTCTCTCTCTCTCTCTCTCTCTCTTTTATCTTTCATTCATTCTTTGTTTCTTTCTTTCGTTTCCATATCGACTTCTTTTATCATTCATTTTTTATTTCTTTCTTTCTTTCTTTCATTTTTAATCATTTTCTTTTATTTTTCATACTTTCTTTCGCTTCCTTACCGAAATCCTTTCACCTTTCTTTCTTTCTTTTCTTGACTTCCTTTCTTTCTTTCTTTCTTTCTTTCTTTCTTTCTTTCTTTCTTTCTTTCTTTCGTTTCCATATCGACTTCCTTTCATCTTATCTTTCTTTCTATCTTTCTTTCTTTCTTTCTTTCTTTCATTTTAATCATTTTCTTTTATTTTTTCATACTTTCTTTCACTTCCTTACCGAAATCCTTTCACCTTTCTTTCTTTCTTTTCTTGACTTCTTTCTTTCTTTCTTTCTTTCTTTCTTTCTTTCTTTCTTTCTTTCTTTCGTTTCCATATCGACTTCCTTTCATCTTATCTTTCTTTCTTTCTTTCTTTCTTTCTTTCTTTCTTTCATTTTTAATCATTTTCTTTTATTTTTCATACTTTCTTTCACTTCCTTACCGAAATCCTTTCACCTTTCTTTCTTTCTTTTCTTGACTTTCTTTCTTTCTTTCTTTCATTCTTTCTTTCTTTCTTTCTTTCTTTCTTTCTTTCTTTCTTTCGTTTCCTTATCGACTTCCTTTCATCTTTTCTTTCTTTTTCTTTTTTCTTCTCGCTACCTTTTCGTCCGTTTTTCTTTCTATCGTTCTTATGCGTCGTCAGTGTTCTGTATTGCATTTGCCGGGCCCAGAAAGAATCCAGTGAAAAAAAAAAAAAAAAAAGAGATGACGTTGTTAAAAACAGATTAAGGAAAATAAACAAAAGAAAGAGAAGAAAAAAAATAGCAAACGTCGGGAAGTAATTAAATAAAAACAGATAAGAAAGAAAGAAAGAAAGAAAGAAAGAAAGAAAGAAAGAAAGAAAGAAAGAAAAGGAAAAAACGAAAGAAAGAAAAAGAAAATACAGAAAGGAAGAAAAGAAAAAAGAAAAGAAAAGAAGACAGAAAAGAAAAAAAAAAGACAAGAAAAGAAAGAAAGAGAGAAAGAAAGCAAAAAAAGACAACAGCTTAGAGAAAAAGAGAGAAAGACAAAAAGAAGTGTTCTCTCGCTTTCTTTATCTGTTTTTTTTTTATTTCCCGCCCTTTTGTTATTTGGTCTTTTATTTTTCTGTATTTTCGTTTATTTGTTTTTTTTTTTTTTTGTTTCTTTTTATCTGTTTTTGACAACGTCAACTCTTTTTGTTTTTAAATCTTTGTTTGTTTTTTTCATTCGATTCTCTTTGACGACAGAAAATGCAGCACCAAACTCCGACGATTCATTAAAAGTGAATGCGTTATGAAGAAACAGGAAAAAAAATCATTATGAACGAAACAGACATTGCTGAATTACTATGTAACATCAACTCTCTTATATGACAGTGAATACTGGGCAATTTTCTCACGGATGAAGAAGAGACTTGAGGCAATAGAATTCTACAGAAGGATGCTGAGATTATGCTATAGACGGAGAGTGGGAGCCAAAAGACATTCTAAGGACACTTTGATCATTGAAAATGTTCGTTCACGATTAGAAAATTAAAAACAAATTTTACATACTAAAAAAAATAATTTAATAATCAAGTGTAAAGCCGCCATTAATTATTAAGAATGCTCTCCCATCGTATTGCCATTTTGATACAAACTTCGTGATTTTTGTTGGAAGAAGATTGTGGGGTAGATTTCGACTGGCTATATAGAGTTCATTTTTTCATCATTGAAAATATTCTGTACAGACCGAAATGAAAATTGAAAGGGACCAAGTCAGAAGAATTCAGTGGATGCTTAAGGGTTTGCCATTTCAACACTTTAGGTTCATGCAAAGTCTGCTTTTGCAACATAAGGTCTTGGGTTGTCGTGGTGGAAAATTTGCCAAAATCGGGAGTTCTTCTTGAATCTAAATGTCTTCAAGTGGCGAAAATCGGTTGAGATATCGATTTTCAAATTCTTTGCAGTCCTTTCCGTCGAAATCTTCGGTTTATTCTCCAAGAATGGCAAGCAAGGGTCTTCGTCAACGTCGGAAGATCGCTTGGAACATTACTGATCGTTTAGGTCAAAATCACCCTGACGAAATCTGCCAAACCAGGTTCTGACCGTCAGAAAAACTGGAGTACGATTTCCCAAAAACCTTCTGAATGTTTTTGTCGTAATTCCAACGCTTATTCCTTTCCGGAATCGATATGGAATGGCGAAAGTGCAACTTTTCATCATTCACCTTTAAGGCATTCATTTGTGGACCAAACGTCAACATTCATCAAAGTCTGACTCGCACTTGAACGATGCAAGGTTTCAATCTCGAACACACCAGAAATCGGCGCCAAAACAAACGCCAGTGTCAAGTTGCAGTCATTTTATATCGACAATGAAAATCAGGAACGAACTTTCGCAGTGATCTGATATTTAGGTTTAGTCAGAGAAAATATAATGAAAATGGTTAATTTACTGCAGATAAAGAAGAAGAAAACATCACTTTCGATTACGAATATAATAAATCTTATATCGCTTATATCGCTTAGTGTCCTCCATAATTTCCTTTCGTTTGAAGATTTTCAAATATTTTCAAATGTTCTCAGATTTGAATTTGAACACACATTACATCATTTTCTTAATGATAATCTTTCTGTGCGTATATAGCTTCTTATCGAATCAATCTATATTTTGCCTTTGATACAGTTTCCGAAAAAAGACGAAACACGTCGCAAAATAAAATTCCCTATTTAGTCAATTAAGAAAATGTGTAAGAACTAAATTGACTGTGCGGAGAATCTACGAGGAAGATGGATCGTCCGTGCCAGTGTTAATGACAATGCGCTGTTAAAATGGCCACCATATTCACCTGACTTAACACCATATGATTTTTTCTATAAGGCTATGTGAAAGAACAGATCTATATCACTCCCTTTTCTTACGAGCCGAGAGGAACTTAAGCAGTGAAACAGTGAGGTGCTGGAGAATGTTACGCAAGACATTCTACAACGTGTTTGATAGAAGCTGGACTACCGACTTGATGTGTGTCGTGTCAGAAATGATGTGTATATTGAATATTTATGAATCTTTGTGTAATCGATTATAAATCGGGTGTGTAACCCTTTTGAATATCTTGTTCGAATTCTGATAAATAAATATTTTATTGTTCAACATGAAGCATATTTAATTTTGTTTGCCTGGGATCATGTAGTTACTAAGATATTCACATTTTAAATTATGTCAATCTTTTGGGGGGGAGGGGGCACCATATATATTTTTTATTTTTTTTTATTTCTTATCTTATATATTTATTTATTTGTTTATTTATCTTTTATTTTTTAATCGGTGTTTTTATTAACGAAGCAAAAATTTGTTGATATCGCATATATATATATATATATATATATATATATATAATTTTATTGAGTCTGGCCATAATTTTGATAACGAGACTGGCTGTACTGTGTGAGTTACAAGGGAGATGCGGATTGTGGTATTATGTAACATAATATCGTGGGAATATATATATATATATATATATATATATATATATATATATATATATATATATATATTAGCTTTCTGCAAGTATTGCATTTTTTTCACATGAGAGAGTTGTGCAAGACAAATCGTGGCTGCTACCCCACGACAATGCCCCTGCTTACAACGCCCTGAGCATCGCCGTACTGGATCAACCTCACTATTCAGCTTATCTTGCTCCGTGTGACTTTTTTTCTTTTACCCCCATGTTCAAGGGGGTCATCAACGGGACCCGTTCTGAAGGCGTGGAGGCCCTCAAGAAGGCCGTAACGACGGAGCTGACGTGCAACCAAGAAGAATCCTCTCCGGCAGTATTGCGCCCACCTTTGCTGGAGAAATCGACGTAAGATCCGACTCAGCTACACAGTACCTCGCCGATCAAGAGAAGTCGAATAAATTCGGAGCTTCCCAGATTCTTAACATTTGTGGATATTTGGTAGGAGATACTTAGTGATGATTTATCGAAAACATATGACATAAAACAAGGTGAAAGAAGTGAATAAGGTATATAATATAATTTTATTTATTTGCTTTAGAGTGAGTCCTTTGATATTCTGTGTAATAAAAATGTTTGTTTATAAGGCGGATATTGCTGGTAGCTTGGAGAAAGACTGGTAGTGGTACGTTGGAAGTCAAACCTTGCTAGGAGTAGTACTAATATTATAAATAGGTCAGTGTCAACCTACTGTGTTATCTAAGTCCTAAGCAAGGCAGAAATATCATTAGAAGATGACCTCTGAACTATTCTTTACGCGTCATACATGGCTGGTTTCTGCGGTGGCCGCGTATCTTGTTATCACTCTTGCCGTCCCTTATGCTGTCTAGCTCAGTATGAGATTATATTAATTTGACCAGGCTCCGAGACTCTGGCGCGAACCTTGGTTTCGGCTAATATCAAAAGTTTCTTTGTGTTAAATTTTTTTGATTGGCCAAAATTCTTTTTCATTTTTTTTTTAATAACGAAAGTTGTGCGTTAAGCCCTCTGATTTTTTATGGCTTTCAGTCAGAAATAAGTAGGCCCTGAACCGGCAACCTTCCGGAGTTTCAGTTTTTACTTCTTC